ATCAGGAGGCCTAGAAAGTCAAAGGCAAAATCCAGAATCAATTTCACACTTGCAGCTGCCAAGACATTAGTCTAAGGGTGCATGTTGAAAGGTACACATCTGAAAGCGTGGCAAATTTAGTCCTGGTTCATCCCGGGCTATAAATGTGCCATCCTTGGGTAGGACTGTTCTGGTTTGGGGTCATATCTTAACAACTTTTTTGACGTGCAACTCAGCAGTGGTCAAAACATTTCTGTGATCATGGCTTAAGCAATCAAGTTTTCTTGAATTCTGGGTATAGGACATCTACAGGAATAATCTATTTGCTTGATCCTGTCATCTGTGCATTAATATAAGGTACCATCTTTTTCATACATAGACGGTGAGGAATGCTGTGACTTTTGACTTTTATCTATTCTCTAGCAAGATCTTAATTGTTGCTTTCTACCATGAGAGACTAACATGAAAGCTTTTCTAGGCAAGCCTTTACCAATCTGATTAACATCTACTCTGAAGTATTTGGTAAAGAAGTCAGGGGATTCTTCATGCAGCATTTCTCTAACTATTCTCTAATTGTCCTCTGTGGGTTGTTATAGAGACATCTCATAGCTCATGAAAGGCTTGTGATGTGGCTTGAAGCCCAGGTATTTTGGGTTGCTGAGTTTAAGTGTTACAGGCATGGTGAAAAAAAGAAACTATTTACTGAGGAACTCGATCTCTTCCTAGACACTGAAGTCTATTACTCCATAGAACCCACCAATGCATAGTACAACACTAATATATGAGATGAAAATAGCACTGTACCTAAATTTCTTCTTCCTGGGCTCCCATTCAATGTTTATATATTTAGTATCTCTTCAAAAGTTAAGGATTCTTTAGTGAATCTTATGTCTCAACTTTGAGAAATAGTTTCTTTTCTGTTCATATCTCTCATAACACCTTTGTTCCTGGACCCCCTAATGCTGCTATTTTCCTTCACTAGATTAATAACATATGTTCATATTTTAAAAAAAAATTATCAGTTCCCCCATAATGTCCTGGAGCATCTACATTAGGAATGAGAACATTATTATTTCCTATGGTGCTTTGTTGATGTGCCATATACTTCTGCTTTCTTGACTGTTGAATATAGCACTCTTTTGAACAAACATTCCCTAAAGAGACTAAATGTTAGGCAGATTTCCTTTACTGCCTGAAAATACATTGAATATGTGATCTTTGTGATCATTGTCAATCAGGACAAATACTACTCCCCTTTAGCCCAACCACTTATGTCTATGATCTGTGATTTGTTTCCTGAATATGATACTAACTTAACACCTCAACATACCATGTTATTACTTAGTACTGGACATGCCTTTCAGGAGAGCTTTTCCACTGGCACTTTAATAGCAACTTTTGTCATTATTCTGCCTTTCACATAATTTAGGAGACAATTTTCATGATGTCAGGAAAATTAATCCCCAAACATCAGAGGTTTCTGTCCAAAAAGGAGACAGAAGAGTCCTTTTACTTTATTCGAATAAAGGGAGAGGCCATGGGGCATTCCCCTGGGGTTCAAATTTTTGGAGGACGCAGCCTCCTTTTTATCATAATTTCCTGGCCGCATTTCCCTTCTCTCTTTCCCCATTGGCAGTCTGTACTTGAGAGGTACAGACTACCCGATATGCCTGATACCAAAGATTTCCCTCTAATGTATTACCCTCCCTTTTAATTTTTCATTCTTATGGAATTTAGGGGTTTCTCCCATTGTTTCTTTCAATGTCCAATTTCATTTATCAGCAAACCTAAAGTTTATTTGTAAAAGCAAATATCTTTTTCCATTCATCAATCAGTGGAATCCTTCCCATTGTTTCTTTTATCTCTTAGTGCTAGTTTTCTCTACCAGCAGACCCACAGCTTGTTTATAAAGACAAATCTGCCATTCCTCTCAATGACTAACCATTTGAATGGTCTTTTTCCATTTCTATGATGCTTCTGTGCAGCTAATGAACTTTGCTTCAATAATGTATATTCTTTGAGGATTAAGATCCTAAGTTTCATCCTTTTTCAGAACTGAAAGGATGCTTGCTGAGCTCACACTGTTTCAGTACTACAGGCTTTGGCTCTGTTTCATTTCTCACCAGAAGTTCTTCAGATACAAGTAAAAACAGTTTTAGGTTTATGTTTTCTATGATGCAATTACACAAAAAGGACTGGAGAAAAGAAGCCAATAGTATTGTAACATTCTAAAATGCTTTTTCTCTGATGCAAAGGTTGCTTTTGGAAGGTCAGCTGTTCATTCCAGGAAATGTAACCAAATTTTACAGACTCCCTTAAACTGTAGTTCTTCAATTGATTCAGTTGATTCAACTCAGTGATGTGGTTTTCAGCATAATTTGTCTTCAAAACCTCTGTAGAAGTCCATCCGAAAATCCTTCATTTTTTGCCTCACAATTGTCATGAGAAAAGACTACCGAAGGGTTAAAACTGGTGAGCCAGTTAGGAAAGAAAGTCTCATGCTTATCTAGTGTGTTCACAAGTAGTGTTTGCAGAACACGCCATGCTGTACTGGAAGGGGGCATGCTGCCCTTTTCCGGACAATTGAACTGGACTTTCTTCCAAACTCCTGAGCTGGCTGGACTGAGCTCTGGGGTGGCTCCCCCCCCCGCTCCATGAGAAGACCCCTCTTGCCTGTCTTCAACCACCGTGACGGACCAACAGAGATGCGAATCCCCTCATCAAGGAACCAAGAACCCCTCTGGCACCCTATTGGCACCCCCATGGCACCCCCATGGTACCCCTCTGGCAACCTCCTTTCAGAGACTGGGACTGTACTCCCTCCCACCTCAGGGAGGGGGAGAAACCTAACGTACCTGTGAGCATTCGGCCATGATTCTTCTCCCCTCCATGGAAACCTAATTTCAGCCACCCTTCCCCCATCCAAGAACAGTATATCTTGGGGGTTCGGTTCAACTGCCCTTCAAGTACTCCCCAAGATGTGTACCAGCGAGTTTCGGCGGCGGGACCCCGAAGACATCACGTTTTGGTAGCTATATCCCATTCTCTGATCTCCTTTCCTCCCTTTTTCCTTGTCCTACCCTTCTCTTCCCCGGATCCCCTAACCAAACGCATATTTAGCTGTGGTTATCATCAATAAAATTGCATTTTGTTGATTTGTTACTGCAAAACCCCTGTGCCTTTGTTGGTTATATTTGCACCCAAAAGTCGTTCGTCACCCGTTCATTTCGGGCGGACCTTCACAACCTCACACGAGAGAATATGATATTATACCTCCAAGCCAGTGAATCCTAGCCTGACAGCTAGGACTGCACTTTCTACAACTTCTATCTTGGAATAATCTTTCTGTGATTCATTTTCACTTCAGTATTTCAGCTTATTAAAACATTTTGTATGTTTGCAATCATCAATTTGCCTTGTAATTCTGAAATATTTTTTTTATATTGATGTCAGGCTGTGAATCTGAAGAATTGTATGGAGTTTACGAGGCCAGGTTTTGGTAGCAGGAGGGCTACAGGGGTGGCTTCTGTGAGAAGCTGCTAGAATCTTCCCCCATGTATGGCAGAGCCAATGCCAGCTGGCTCCAAGACAGACTCACCAATGGCCAAGGCCAAGCCAATCAGAGATGGTAGTAGTACCTCTGTGACAACATATTTAAGAAAGGAAAGAGGTTAGTGTGCAAAAGCAATTGCAGCCAGAGAAGAGAGGACTGAGAATATGTGGGAGCAACAACCCTGTAGGCACCAAAGTTAGTAGAGAAGGAGGGGGAGGAGGTGCTCCAGGCACCAGAGCTGAGTGTCCCCTGCAGTGCACGGTGAAGACCGTGGTGAAGCAGCTGTCCCCCTGCAGCCCAGGAGGTCCCTGAGGAAACAGAGATCTACCCGCAGCCTGTGGAAGACCCCAGGCTTAAGTAGGTGGATGCACCCAAAGAAGGTTTTGACCCCATGGGAAGCCCATGCTGGAGCGAGCTCCTGGCAGGATATGTGGACCTGTGGAGAGGAGGACCCCCACACTGGAGCAGGTTTGCTGGTCAGACTTGTGACCCTATGGGGGACCCACACCAGAGCAGCTCATGAAGAACTGGATCTAAAAGAAAAATCATGGATACGGGGACAAGGTTTGAATTGCATCACCAAGAGAGAAAATACAGCATTTAAATATCTTCTAGGGAAAAAAAAAATAAGGACATATCCATTAATCGAAAAAAAAAAAACCCTGCCAGGCGAGGCTGCAAGCAAGAGAAGGTGGGGGAAGCAGGGAGGGAAGGGAGATAGGCCACACACCCCAAACCAGATCGCAAACAGAAACGAACACGCCCGAAGGGAGGGGGGAAGAGGGGGAAGAGAAGGGGGGGCAGCGGGGAAGAGGCGCGGACTTTACCTTGCATCCCAGCTCAGCCACAAAAATAAATTTTCTTTTAGCAGCACAGCAAGCTTACTAGACTCCATGGCTCTGCAAGTAGCGTCACCTCCACTCACTGTCTCATGCTTTTAACTCCTCCCGCGGTGGCGGCTCCTCCTCTCCAGATTTCACTGCCGTATAGGGCGCACTCTCCTGGCTTAGGCAGTGGCAGAGCGGCGTGCCTGGTCTCCCTTCCGGCCGCCATCTCGCGTGTTGTGCTCTATCCTCATCCCACTCCCACAACTCTCATTTCTCGGCGCTCTGGCACCGCTGCTTCCGCTCTAAGAAGGTACAAAGGAGACGGTGGGGGAGGGACTAGCGTGGAATTTGTTGCGCGACCAAGGGCTGCGGGTTAGTGGGCGGCTGTGGTTGGAGCAAGGCAAGGCATGGCATTTACGGGCAGGGCCTCAGGAGAGCTGTGTATGGCACTGTGTGTGGCAGACCGACCGCTCCGTTCTCCATTAGGGCTTGGACGGCTTCCCGTCGGGTGTGCGAGTGTAGTGAGGGGTAGCTGCGGAGCCCCTTGAACTCACCTACCTTACTGCCGGGCCCAGGTTGTGGCCTGGGCCGCCGAGTGCTTCCTGACCTGTTTTACATGGGTGCTCTTGTTGCTTCCACAGATGAAAGAAACGATCATGAACCAAGAAAAGCTTGCTAAGCTCCAGGCCCAAGTGCGCATTGGTGGCAAGGTAGGAACTGTCTCTCATCCCTGCCTTCAGGATTGTGTGTCACGGTCCATACACTGGGCCTCTGATGTGGGATCCTGAAAACTTGGGTGGGGAGCAGCCTTAAAGACTCCTGCCTTGGCTGGACTGTCCTTGGGGGAAACTGCACTGCTGCAGTGATCTCTAGTCAATTCAGTAGAAGCAGAATGTAGGAGTTGAACCTCCAGCCTTTTCTGTTTGGATTTATCTTATAGCTGACTTGTAGCCTATATTCTTAGATAGGCTATATTAAAAGGCATCTGGGATGGGGCAACCCTGGATGTATGTACGAACTAAGGAATGAAAAATAGAGCAGCACTACAGAAAGGGACCTTGGGGAACTGGTCAATGGTAAGTTGGATATGAGTCAGCAGTGCCCTGGCAGCCAGGAGGGCCAGCCGTGTCCTGGGGTGCATCAGGCACAGTATTGCCAGCCAGTCAAGGAAGGTGATTGTCCTGCTCTGCTCTGCACTGGTGCAGCCTTAACTCAACTACTGTGTGCAGTTTTGAGCACCACAATATAAGAAAGTGTTACAAACAACTGTTTGAGATCACTTAAAAAATCAGCTGCAAGGGTATCGGTAAAGTCCAGATTTAATATTAAGTGACAGCGTGACAAAGTTTGTTGACAAAATTCACTCTATTACTTACTAGACAGTTAAGGCACACCAAGGAAAACAAGCAACAACAAAACCAAACAAAATCCAGGCAATCAAAACAGAAATGAACTGGGAACTATCTGGGGGGGATGCGGGGGTATGCATGTGTGTGGGCATGTGGCAAAAGGATAGTGAGGGCAAGGATAAAAAGGAATACAGCCTAAAAGCTTAACAGCACTCAAACTTAACAGTACTTTAAGTTAACTTATACTTGAAACCTAAGAATTTAACAAAGGAACAACACTTATACTATAACCATAACAACTGAGGAATAGCACTCGCAGCATTTAACTTAGCTTATGACTTAACCTTACTTACAGGCCTAACCTACTTAGATATCTAAGGTACTTAAACACCTAAGAAAGCAGCATTTCTCCCAGGTTTCCTATAGCACATGTGCATGTGTATGCACACAGACATAAAGAATCAGTGCAAGTTACCTGTGAAAAATTCCCCTCAAGTGTAAGTGAAATATTAATTTCAGATGGCTTTGCACCTCCCCAGTGGGTGAAGGGTCAGGCCTTGAGGAGTGGAGGTGTTGTCCCAGGACTCGACGTAATTCAGCAATCCTCTGAGTACAGCAAACATGAGAGTTTGCTGCGTCTAAGAGGCCCCACTCAGAGGGAGGTTGCTGTTCACAGCCTGCTGCAGTCTAGAAGAGCTCAAAGGGTCTCATTTTAGACCATTGTTTATAGGGTCGCAAGAGAGTGGGCTTTAGTCATAACAGTGTTTCATCCTGGACACAGTTTGGGTCAACACTTTCTTTGAAACTGTGAGAACAGGGATATTATGCCATTCAGACAAGGAAAACAGTTTCCAAGGCTGTTCATAAAGAAAAATGGAGCTCATTAGCAGCAGTTCCTGGGAGCAGACAGTGTTTCTGATAAGCTCAAGAAGAGCTGAGCCCATGTGCTGTTTGTCAAGGCTGAGGCCTAACAAGCATTTCTGAGATCACAGTGTGGCCTGGAAAAAGGGGGGTATGCATCACCACAGAAAGATATAAAGCTACTAGAGAGCATCCAAAGGAGGGCTACAAAGATGGTAAAGGGTCTAGAGGGGAAGCCATATGAGGAGTAGCTGAGGTCACTTGGCTTGTTCAGACTGGAGAAGAGGAGACCTCAGGCTACAACTGTAGTTTCAGTCTACAACTTCCTCACAAGGGGAAGCGAAGGGCAGGCACTGATCTCTTCTCTCTGGTGACCAGTGATAGGACCCGAGGGAATGGCATGAAGCTATGTCAGGGGAGGTTTAGTTTGGATAGTAGGAAAAGGTTTTTCACCCAGAGGGTGGTTGGGCACTGGAACAGGCTCCCCAGGGCAGTGGTCACAACCCCAAGCCTGTCTGAGTTCAAGAAGCATTTGGACAATGCTCTCAAGCACATGGTGTAAATCCTGGGGCTGTCCTGTGCAGAGTCAGGAGTTGGACTCTGATCCTTGTGGGTTACTTCCAGCTCAGGATATTCTATGATTAAGATTTGAAGTAAGTAGACCTTTAACAGTAAATGATCTTGGGTATAGTTTTCATAATAGACTAGAGAGCTATACTCCAAATTCTCATGACAAATCTTTAAGATGCCCATGGCTGTTTTCTTGCTTTTTAGAACAAAGCTGGGGTTTCTGTATTTCTCATACTCTTATCATTGTAGAATAACATGCGTAGAAGACCTTTTTATTTTAACATCTGAATTTATGTAGCTTTGTGATTACTTATAATCTGAAAATAAAAAATTATGTTGAGTATAGTTGTATGCTAGTAAACATGTTAATTACAGTTTCAGTTTTAAGGCAAGAATTTGTTAGCAATTTTTTTGTTTCTATACCTGAGAAATGTGCACACAATACAGGCTTGTATTTAGAACACAAGCTATTCTAAAATAAGACAATGGGAGCAGTGGTAAAGGACTCTGGAGTGCAGGTAGTTTTTTCATCAGTCTTCCTGATCAAAAGGAAGGAGTTTGAAAGTGTTAGTCAAATTTGGCAAATCAAAAAATGGTTACAGTACTGGTGCCACAGTTGGGGGTTTGGCTACCTAGACTATAGGACTTGGTTTGAGAAACCTGGTCTGTTAGGGGATGATGGGTCCATCTGTCAGAGAAGGGAATCTTTTTCAGTCATAGGCTTGCCAAGCTGGTGAAGAGGGTTCTAAACCAAAATTGCCGAGAGAGGGGAAACTCAGTCCATCCCACTCCTCCTGGTTAGATGCCAGGGCCGGGGAGAGATGCCCAAAGCCTGGAGAGGGATCACAGGTCAGTAGGAGAGCATCTGAAGAGCAGCACCAAAGAATTCCAGCCAGTAAATCAGCTTCATCAGGGACCCAACTTAAATTCCTCTATGCAAACACATGCAGCATGGGGAATAAACAGGATGTGCACATGCCTCCAGGGCTATGATCTTACTGGCAACACAGAGACATGGTAGGAGGCTCCTGTGATGAGTGTTTGAATAGAAGGACACAGGCCCTTTAGGAAGGACAGGCAGGGGAGACAAGAAGGTGGTGTTGCCCTTTATGTCAATGGAGTGCATGGAGCTCCACCTGGGGATGGATGAGAAACTGACAGAGTTTATGGGTCAGGATTATAAGGAGGGCAGGGACAGGTGACATTATAGTGGGAGTCTACTACAGGCCACCTGATCAGGAAGACAGAGTGGGTAAGACTCTCTACAGACAGCTAGAAACAGTCTCACATTCAGAAGCCCTGGTCCTCGTGGGGGACTTCAACCACCCTGATACCTGTTGGAGGGACAACACAACAAAGCACTAGCAATCCAGGAGGTTCCTGGAATGGGTTGATGACTTCCTTCTCCTAGTGACAGAGAAGCCAATGAGGCAAGGGGCTATGCTGGACGTTATTCTCACCAACAAGGAGGGGCTGGTGGGGAGGGTGAAACTCAAGGGCAGCCTGGGCTGCCCTGACCATGAAATGGTGGAGTTTGAGATCCTTGGGGCAGCAAGGAGTGCACACAGCAATCTCACTGCCCTGGGCTTCAGGAGAGCAGACTTGGGCCAGTTCAAGGATCTGCTTGGTAGATCTCGGGGTCTCTAGTTGGTTAGAGTGACCCCGAGATAGGTTAGAAAGTGTCTTTTCCCAGCCCGGCGGTCAAAGAAGGAGTCAGAACTCTTAATTTCTGGGTCTCAAGGTTGTTTATTGTATCTTATCTATAAAATTCTTTCTCCTGTCCTGCTGAGGTCCGCTCAGCAGGTCAGTCAGAGGCACTCTGCCTGCCCCCGGGGTGGTGTTATCTTTTTATACTAAAAACTACATGTACAATATTTACAATTACTTTCCAATACCTATCACCTATGTCAGAGAGTGAGCTTCTATTCTAAACCAATCTAAAAGTGCTAACATCACAGCAGAAGATGGAGGCCAAGAAGAAGAAGGAGAAAGGCTGGACATGCCCAGATTCCTCCATCTTGCTCCATGAACCCCCATTCTAAAAACCTCAAAAATCTATTTTTCACCCCATGATAAATTCACTGTCATTCTACTTAAACTTTCGTGGCTTGTAATTCTTCATATAAAGTTTGGTAATTGTTTTTTCCAAGGGCTAAATCAAAGGCACAGGGGTCTTGGGCTCTGTGCCAAGGTCTCTGAGCCCCCTGGGCAGGGGCTCAAGTCCTCCAGGGCAGCCAGAGGAATTTCCTGGGTTCTGACAAATAGAGTGCCATGGTATAGGGCCCTGGAGGGAAGAGGGGCCCAAGAAAGTTGGTTGATATTCAAGGATCACCTCCTCCAAACTCAGGAGCAATGCATTCCAACAAAGAGGAAATAAGGCAAAAATGCCAGGAGGCCTGTGTGGATGAACAAAGAGGTCCTGGACAAGCTCAAACAGAAAAAGGAAGCCCACAGAGGGTGTAAGCAAGCACAGGTAGCCTACGAGGAATACAGAGAGATTATCTGACCAGCTAGAGATCAGGTTGGGAAAACTAAAGCACTGATAAAATTAAATATGGCCAGGGATGTCAAGGGTAACAAGAAAATCTTCTATAGGTACGTCAGTGATAAAAGGAGGACTAGGGAAAATGTGTGCCCTTTCTGGAAGGATATGGGAGACCTGGTTACCCAAGACATGGAGAAGGCTGAAGTACTCAATGACTTTTTTGCCTCGGTTTTCACCAGCACACCACCTGAGTTGTAGAAGGTGAATGCAGGGATTGGGAGAACGAAGAATCACCCACTCTAGGAGAAAAACAGGTTTGAGACCATTTAAGGAACCTGAGGGTGCAAAAGTCCCGGTGACCTGATGAGATGCATCCACAGGTCCTGAGGGACCTGGCAGAGGAAGCAGCTAAGCCAGTATCCATAATATTTGAGAAGTTGTGGCA